GAATTGTGGTGCACAATTTTGAACTGCTCGCATACCTCCTTCATCAGATTACTATTGAGGTTTGCAGCATTATCTGTGATGATAGCTCTTGGGATACCAAATCGACAAATAATGTTTGAATGAACAAAATCCACGACCGCCTTCTTAGTGACTGCTTTGAAAGTTATCGCCTCCACCCATTTGGTGAAGTAATCAATTGCAACCAAAATGAATCGATGTCCATTAGAGGCTTTTGGCTCGATTGGTCCGATTACATCCGTTCCCCATGCAACAAAGGGCCAAGGAGCAGCCATGGGGTGCAACTCTGAATGAGGTGAATGAATGAGATCTCCATGGACTTGACATTGATGACATTTTTTCACAAAGTGAAAGCAATCTTTTTCCATGGTAAGCCAATAATACCCCGCCCGGAGTATCTTTTTTGCAAGGACATATTCATTCATGTGTGGTCCACATATCCCAACGTGCACTTCATTAATAATTTTCTCGGCTTCTTCAGCATCCAAACGTCTCAATGAATTCAAATACGGAGTTCGTTTATACAAAACATCCCCGCTCAAAAAGAAACCATTAGCCAGACGTCTAATAAATCTTTTTTGGCTTTTGTTGGCATGTTCGGGGCATCTCCCTGTCTTAAAAAAATTCTTGATGTCTGAGTACCATGGCTCACCATCAAGTTCTGCTTCCACTGTATTACAATAGCCATGTTCGTCCCGAACTTGAATCTCTAATGGGGTGATGTATGTGTTTCCAGGATAGGGAAGCATTGAGGCCAAAGTAGCCAAGGCATCGGCCAAATCATTATGAAACCTGGGAATGTATCTAAACTCGATGTACCTGAACCTTTTGCTAAGATCTTTCACACATTGTCTATATGGAAAAAGCTTGAGGTATCGAGTTTTCCATTCGCCTTGAGCTTGTCGGATAAGCAAATCAGAATCTCCCAACACAATTAATTCTTGCACACCCAAATCTATTGCCATATTTAGACCCATGATGCAAGCTTCATATTCAGTCGTGTTATTTGTACAAAAGAAGCGAAGTTGAGCTATTGCAGGGTAATGTTGCCCTGTGGGCGATATTAAAATTGCCCCAATCCCTGTGCCTTTTGTGTTGGTTGCTCCATCAAAGTACAATTGCCAGGCTTGATTTCCATTTGAACCTACTTCCTCAATTGAGTTAATCTCTTCATCTGGAAAATATGTGTCCAATGGTTCGTAATCACCATTGACTGGGTTCTCTGCCAAGTGGTCTGCCAAAGCTTGGGCTTTCATTGCAGCGCGAGTGACATATATAATGTCAAATTCAGTGAGCAAAATTTTCCATTTCGAGAGTCTGCCAGTTGGCATTGGCTTCTGAAATATGTACTTTAAAGGATTCATCCTTGATATGAGGTAAGTTGTGTAGGACAATAAGTAATTCCTTAACTTTTGAGCTACCCAAGTTAGGGCGCAACACGTCCTTTCCAAAAGGGTGTAATTGACCTCATAACTAGTGAATTTCTTGCTCGAGTAGTAGATAGCCTGCTCCTTCCTTCCTGTAGCATCATGTTGACCGAGAATACACCCAAAGGAATTATCTGTTACTGAAAGATATAGAAAGAGAGGCCTGTCAGGTTCAGGCGGTACCAACACGGGAGGGTTGGACAAATACTCCTTGATTTTTTTCAAAAGCTCGTTTACAATCTTCTGTCCATTTGACAGAAGCATCCTTCTTCAAAAGTTTGAAAATGGGCTCACATGTGGTTGTGAGTTGAGCAATAAACCTACTGATGTAGTTCAACCTCCCAAGTAGACTCATGACTTCGGTTTTATTTTTTGGGGATGGCAAATCTCGAATGGCTTTTATTTTGGAGGGATCCAATTCGATTCCCCTTCTACTGACAATAAAACCCAGAAGTTTTCCAAATGGAACTCCGAATGCACATTTTGCTGGATTAAGCTTGAGGTCATATCTTCGCACTCTTCTAAGAATTTTCTCAGATCTTGCACATGATCAACTTGTGTTTTAGACATGATGATTACGTCGTCGACGTATACTTCAATTTCTTTATGCATCATATCATGGAACATGGTGGTCATAGCCCTCATGTAAGTCGCCCCAGCATTTTTAAGACCAAATGGCATGACCCTATAGCAATAAGTTCCCCATGGAGTGGTGAAAACTGATTTCTCAGCGTCCTCTTCATCCATCAAGATTTGATGATATCCCGCATAACAGTCCACAAAATATTGCATCTCGTGTTTTGCACAGTTATCAACTAGGATGTGGATATTTGGCAATGAAAAGTTGTCTTTTGGACTAGCCTTGTTCAAATCCCAATAGTCAACACAAACTCTTGTCTTTCCATCTTTTTTCGGCACAAGAACAACATTTTCCAACCAAATAGTGTAACGAATAACTTGGATCACCTTTGCATTCAATTGTTTCATTATTTCTTCCTTAATTTTTTCACTCACTTCCGGTTTGAATTTCCTTCTTTTCTGTTGGACGGGTGGAAAATCAGGATGAACAGGCAACTTATGAACCGCTAAATCAACACTCAAGCCTGGCATGTCATCATAAGACCAAGCAAATACATCTTTGTATTCAAACAAAAGTTGTATTATTGCCTCTCTAATTTCCTGATTGATATGTAAACTTATTTTTATTTCCTTAACATCCTCGGAACTTTCCAAATTGATTGTCTCAGTTTCACTAAGATTAGGCTTCGATTTTTGCTCAAACTGTTCCAGTTCCCTATTAATTTCCCTAAAAGTCTCTTCTTCATCATATTCCACCTCTTGACTTGGTGATTCAAGAATAAACAACTCTTTGAAATCAGGGAGTGAATTCCGCATGCATGTCATGTTATCAAAGCCGTCATTTACAGAACTGAAAAATAGAAAATAAGAATTAAGGGAGGAAAAAAAAGCAAAATTTACCATGAAACTGAAATTTCATTTCATTGACATCAAAAAGGGACAGAAGGGTTGACAATAACAAAATACTCTGAACTATTCGAAACACAACCCTGAGAACAACAAAATACAAAAGAGTAGCAAAAAAAACTATCACGACTCCTTCCTTATGGGGAAATGAGTGGCTTCCCAATTGCTTAACTCAACACCTGAGCCCACGAGCTGCATATTGGCCTGACTTGTGCCTTCACCAACTTGGACCATATTTACTTCACAAAACAACTGATTGAGATCCTCAATAATTTCTTCAATGCATTCAATAGTGAATGAATCTTTAAATTCTGAACCCTGAGGTTTGATAAAAGAATGAGCAATATGGGGAATCGGTTGTGGCAACGACCAATCAATCCTTTTGTGGTTCTTAGCTTTATTTCCATTTCTCTTGCTTTGTTTGTATCCGAGGCCAGAGGTGCCTTGGTTTCCTAAAAGAGTAATGGGGTCCACGATTCCTTGCGAATATACTCCCAAACCTTTAGCGGGTTGATAACCATATTTGAGCATCGTCGTTGCTACCATTGAAGCGGAAAAAGAGATACATGATTGGATGATAGATTCTCCTTCTTTAAAGCGATCGACTGATACAACCTCAAAAGACTGGTAAAAACCAGAATCACATCTTTCCTTTGCCTCAATGAATCGGACGGATGGATCTCCGTAAATTGGTGAATCATCTTCTCCATGAACAGCGATTTCCTGATTGTTGTATTCAAACTTGACAACTTGATGTAAGTTGATGGGACGGCTCGAGCCATGTGGATCCATGGCCTTCCTAGTAGAAAATAATAAGATGTTTCCATATCCATTACTTGGAACACAATCGTAAAGACTACTGGCCAATTGTCATGATCCTCTTTACATATTAACCTTCACATGTCACTGTAAGATGCAAAGCTTTGTTGTGTCCAGCTCCCTCCTTGGGCAACTCATCATTAGTGAAAGTGATGGCGTTTGACTCGAAGACGCGCCTGGCCATATTCTCCAACTGATTTACTGTGGTCTCTTTTGGCACATGTGCTTCATTCAAAACCTTATTCAACACAAGATGATGTTCTTTTGAGTGCAAAAGTAGAGACAACAGTGAAATTTGTGCAAGCGTCTTCTTCAATTGTTCCACGACAGAGTAATCTGGAACCTTAAGCTTTTTTAGAAATTCTGCATTTTCTTCTTCAGTAACTGCTTTCTTTAGTGGTACTTGGATGTTTTCAGTCATCTTGCATTTTCTTAATTCTTCTGGAGAATAACATCTTCCAGAGCGTGTCAAACCTCCTACTTCATCAAGTTCTTCGACAATCTCCTTTCCCTGATAAACCACTGCAGTTTTGTTATAGTTCCAACGGACAACCTTTGAATCAATTATTGGAAGCTGTTGAACAGGCTTAACTAAAATAGGCTCTTTCATCTTGGTCAAGCCACTTTGGTCATGTTGTGTTAATGAAAAGCCTTTTGATACATACAACTTTGGCATAGCTGCTCGAACTTCAATCCCCTTTGAAATTCCCGGGACGCACAAGACTTTGGTGTCAAGATTGACACCTTCTGTGTCTTCTTCTCCAATCTCCCTAAACAACTTTCCCATTTTGCTGAGGAGTCTTTACTCTTGATCATCACAAACCATACCCACTAAGTTGTTTTCAGATGGAAGTGGGTTATTGGTCACATTGGGAGTGTTTTGATCATCTGTCACAACAACAACTCCATGCTCGATCAGCTTCTCTATTGCTCCCTTCAAGTAGCTACAATTATCAATGCTGTGTCTTGGGGCTCCTGAATGGTATTCACATCTTTCATTGGCTTGGAAACCTGGAGCATTTGGATTCAGACGATGTGGTGGGATGCAATCAATCGCTCCTATCTTTCTTAACTTCTGAAACAAGCTGGAGTACGACTCCCCCAATGGAGTGAATTTCTTTTTGTGCTTGATCTTGAGCATAATTCCGCATAAGAGGAGAGTTGTAAGGGACCTGATAGGGTGGCCGTTGTGGGTGAAAGTTTCCTTGATTGGGCCCGAAAATGTGGGCGATTGGGAGGATACACATATGACTAAGCATTTAAGACTGTGTACGGAGATGGAGATACTGGATATTGAGGAGCATAAGGGTAGTAATGTTGAGGATAGCTAAGTTGTCCCTGAACTGATGTGTAAGGACAATTAGACTTTCTCTGAGCTCCTCTTGACCCTGATGCTAGGGAAATTACTTCCTCTTTCCTTTTACAATTTCCAAAACTTGTTGAACCACCTTGAATGGCCTGTGTGGTAGCTTTGATTGCTGCGTGGCTCACGATCCTTCCTGTTTTGAGACCACTTTTGACCATTTCCCCAATTTTGATTGCTGTGTGAAACGGTCTTCCCATTGCGGCTGTGAGGTGGTGGGAGTAGTCAGGATCTTGAGCCTCTATAAAGATATCAACCAATTCTTGCTCATTTAATGGGGGCTTAACTCGGGCTGCTTGTTCCCTCCATTTGATAGCATATTCTCTGAAGCTTTCACTTGGTTTTTTTTGTATTGGAGAGTGTATTACGATCTTGCATAATGTCTACATTGTACTGAAATTGTCTAACAAAATCTTGAGCCATATCATCCCATATGTGCCATGGGGAAATCTCTTGATCTATAAACCATTCTGAGACAACACCAGTCAGGCTTTCACCAAAATAAGCCATGAGCAATTCTTCTTTACCCCTTGCACCCCGAAGTTGATTACAATATCTCTTAAGGTGGGCTATGGGATCACCGTGTCCATCATACTTATCAAACTTAGGGGTTTTGAACCCAGGTGGCAGGTGGACATTTGGGAACATACACAAGTCTTTGAATGCGACACTTTTGTGTCCTCCTAACCCTTGCATGCTCTTCATGTGTTGCTCGATGCTTTTCATTTTTTTCAACATTTCTTCTTGCTCTGAGCCTGGAGTGGGCGTCTCAACATCAATAGGGGAACCAAATTGAACAGAGTTAGGGCCCCCAAATGCTATACCAGGAGTATAGTACTGCTCCGGATGAGGGGTGAACTGTCCGTCTTGAGCTGCTCTTTGCGTCACAGTCACTTGTGAGAGTGTATAGACTGGTGCATCTGTTGTAACAATGGGAGTATTCCTAAATGGCATGCCTTGAGGACGTGTTGTTGATGGCCCGACCCCACAATTGTCAAATTGACCATACCCTGGAGGGAAGAAAGGTTCTGATATTGGGACTTGAGAAGATGAGGATCGAATACTAATGATCTCAGGAAAACCAGGAATAGACGTTGGTGGTTCTTGTCCATTGGCCCAGGCTTGCCACAATTGTGCCATAATATTTCTCAGCGTCCGATTTTCTTCAACAGTGACTGTCTCTCTTGTTGTCGAATCAATTGGAGTGTCCGCTGGATTCACCATAGTTTCAGTATTGGTTGTCATTGACGCTCTTACCTTAGACCTCGTAAAGTACGGGTGCTCTGCCAGTTTACCACAAACTTAACCACCGAAAGGTAACTAGAGTTGATGTGAAATGAACAAACTTGTTAGGGGTTAGAAAATTTTATAAATCAGTCACACACTTATTAATCACATAGTAACATGGGTTCAGACGGCCATTGTTTCATCCCATCTTTGCTTTGCTTATTGTCCCTTTTTTTTGGAAAAAAGAAAAAGTTTTGAAAAATAAATTCTGATCGGACCCTTTGGAGGTTGCCTACGTATCATGTTATTGCATGAATCAGATCATTACGTAGTTCAAAAAATTTAGACAACTCAAACAGATTAATTTGGAATTCATTCACCAAAACTTCAAGAAAACAACAAAATCAAAAGGTTTAAAAACAACTCAGATCAGCATAATATCTTTATACACCAAATTTTAAACTAAAAACCAAGAAATAAAATGAAACGAACAACAAAAACAACTAAAACTTCCCTTCAATCTTCATCACTTTCTTGGGGCTTTATTTTTCCTCCCAAGGTCTCATACAAATTCAGAAACACCTTCGGCAGATGGGGAACAATGGTCCGTGCTTGCTCAACCAGTTCTTGATCATTCATATGGCGCTGATTTTTAATAACATAGGAGGTTTGCTCTGCTAGTTGATGAACTTGAAGTCTAGCCCTTCCCATGTTTTGATGACAGTCATTTAACAAAGCCTGATGATTACCCAGATTATTCCTCAAGAGGGCCTCTCGCCCTTCTGCTGCTTCAAGTTGATGGCGAAGTGTTGCTCTTGCGATGATCAATTGTCTTTTCCCCTCTTCGGATGCCTCTAAGTCCCTCTTCAATCGAGAGATCTCAAAATTCTGCTCCCTTTTTATCTGTCGTGCCAAGTGGATTCTATTATGCAATTCTTCCTCCAATCGGGATAATCTTCCCTCTGCATGCTTCAATTCTGCTTCCATATCTTGCAACTCTAACTTGTGATTTTTTCCTCTTTGGACCTGTACTTCTTGCCATGGAATGGTTGTTTTGGCCTTCTCCAACTCTTTTTTCAAATGTCTTATAATATGTTGATCTCTTCTTTTTCTGCTGGATCCTTTGGGAGTGTCACCAAATGTCATTGGATCACGAAACTACAATAGGTACCCAGGAACCACCTTTCCTTTATCTTTATCCACAACCATTTCACTTAGCTCAGAAATAATACACATGTACCAAATCTTCATAATCTCTTCGCTATTAAAAGCAAAACCTGGTGGAGTGTCATATGCAAACCTACTCATATCATCATTGGGTGGGATTTCTTGAACTCTGGCTAGTTAACGCATAAACCGAAGTGGGGCATATGGTTGAACACCTCTAAGACCAATCAACACAAGGAACGAGATACCACTAGACATGCAAATGATATCCTTAGCTGGGAACTAGTTTTAATTCCACACTATTTCATCAGATGTGATCACTGAAAGTTTTTCTTCACACGCTATTATTCCTTTTGGAAAATCAATTTTGGCTTCCCTTTCCTTTTGAGAGGAAACATAGTTGCACCAATCTGGAGTAAACCTAGGCGCACGATCATGGTGATAAAGGTGTTCCAAAAACCATATTTGAAGCAAAATATTACAGCCTTCAAAGTATATTTCCCCACTTAAACACTTAGTTAATGCACGAAACATATGTGCCAGGATCATAGGAATAATAGTTGGATTTTTCATTGTGGTCAATGCCTTCACCACACCAGCCAGACGAATGTCAATTTGCTTGTCCCTTTTGGGGAAAATAATGAGCCCCAAAAATGCGACCATAAAAGAAAAACATCCATTTGCCTTCAAAGCTTCTTCACCCTCTTGATTACTCCACTGGTTTCGATAGTTATTGAAACCATCTCTTTGACCGTTCTCTGGTATAGAAAGTCTAAATAGACCCACCCATTTTTCAAACTCTCTTTCTCTATTTGATTAATTTTGAGCAGTTCCAGAAATTTTTTGGCATCAACATGTTTCGGAATTATGGGTCTTTTATTGCGTAGATCAGCACCTCGAACACTAGACCCCTTCCCCATGAAGCCGACAATTTCTTCCAAAGTTGATGTCATCTCACAATCAGATTAACAAAATACATTATATTTGGGATCCCAAAAAGGAATCAATGCCTCGACCACATCCCTTCTAGGTTCAATCTCCATAAGATGCACTAAATGCCCCAAGTGTTCCTTTACTCTTTTTTTCTCATGGCTTCCCATGTCAGTCCACCATTGCCATAAATCTTTTTGTATAGTATCTACGATCATGAACTCCGGAAATCCTTCGCTTCTAGGCCTTTTTGAACCTTGTCCTTTTGTCGATGGTGCCATTTGTACCTTTAAATAGAATTCAATAAAGGTTTTTATGACAAACTCTAACAGAGTGAAAAAAGAAAAGTAAAATTTTTTTTTTAAAGAAAATAAAATAAAACACCAATTTTTTACGAACACCGAACCCTTGAAAGGATGCCTACGTATCTCTTTTTAGTGAGATTCAGGTGTGCGTAGTTCATAAAATAAAAACTTCTCTTGGAAAGACTACCCCTTTTATTTGACCTTTTTTAAAAAAAAAAAAGAAAAAGAAAAAATAAACTCGCAAAGCTATTTTGAAGATGGTCAACAATGTCAAAGCCTTCTGAACCAACTATTTCTACATAGCATATAAAATGAACATTTTGGTCTAACATGAATACATATCTTAATTTCACTAGGCCAAATGTACATGATGAAAAAAAAGCATACCAGAGACATTTTATCTAGATTTAACATTTATGAAGGTGTCTAGACTGGCTTACTCGAGCGAACAACTCGAGTCAGGGAGGGTCAGCGTACGGGTAGCAGAGCTATTCCGGCTTAACTGGTGGTCCAACCCCGCCTAACTTGTGTAACAACCTAGAATCAGGAGTGTAACCGCACACTGACTCATCCTAGACAGAGGTCCTGTGGAGCGTAACCGCACACACAGTATATAACAAAATTCAGAGACTCAAAGGGTGTGTGAGAGAAACAATTGATATACAATACAATATCAAAACAATAAATTGTTGAAATAACACAATTAGCATCCAAACATAAAATTTATCCAAATAAATAAAATAGCCAAAAAAAAGTTAATGTACAAAGCTCGAATTCTAAAAGAAGTGTCCCCAGCGAAGTTGCCAAATCTGTCACACCTCTTTTATTTATTTATTTATTACAATTGTTGAGGATATGACAGATTTTTTAAAAAATTATTTTTTTTAGAGTCGCCACTTGAAATTGAGTTTTTTAGGTGTTCCAAGTCACCAGATAGTTCTTAACTTAAAATAATTTTTTTTTGTTTTGGTTTACGAAAAACAGAGATTGGGTAAGGAATTCTATTGACCGGAGGGAAGGTATGACGCACCCCCCGAGTCCCGTGGTTCTAGCACGATCGCTTTATTAACTTATATTTGGCTAAAATAGGTTATTTATTTAATTTGGATAAAAGGGAAAAAGTGTATTAATTACTTTTTAAAAAAAAACAAAAAAAAATTGATTGGCCTAAGAGCGTAACCGCACACAAGAACCTTCTTTTTTATAAAAAAATACACATTAAGGATCGTAACCGAACACATGATGGTATTTGAAGTTTTATTTTATGTTTTTTTTAAAAAACACAATAATTAATTACTCAATTTAAAAAAAAATAATGATAAGAATGAATAAAAGAAAATGGTGCAACATATAAACCAAGAAATGATTAGTATTTATTTATTTATTGTTATTAAAAAATTTCTAGCATTTATATTTATGGTTTTACCAAAAGAATTTTTTTTATTACTACTAGACAATGACAACAAAAGAAGAAGAAAAAAACTTTTACAAAATTACAATTAAACACTCTTTTAAACTAATGATATACTAGTTTTAATTTATTCATTATATATATATATATATATATATATATATATATATACTGATAAAAATTTAAGAAAAAACCAATTTGGTAAAAGAAATTATTTTTTTTATATAAAATGACTACCTTGAATTATTTGATAGATTATTGCAAAACAGAAAATTTTCTAATTGTTGGTTTATTAAGTCAAGTTAGTCAGATTTGTATTTTTACTTTAATAATCAATTCAAATATTTATTTAAGAGAATTTTTTTTGAATTTTCTTTTAAAAAGAAAGAAATAAATAAAGATATTTACATTTATTTCATATTTTTTTGCAGAAATAACCAGAATTTTTTGCAGAAATAACCAGATTTTCATTTTTTTTGCAGAAATAACCAGATTTACATTTTTTTGCAGAAATAGCCAGATTTACATTTTTTGCATAAATAATCAGATTTTATTTTCTTTGCAGAAATAACCAGATTTAAACTAGATATGGTTAATAACATATATGTACATCATAATAAACACAGTCATATGAGAAACACTATAGAATAAGAAACTAATAAAAATATACAAACTAAGTAACATAAGGATAAACATAATCATACGAAAATCATAATAAGCTTAGCAAAAAATAAATAAAATAACATAAAGATTAATTCAAGATTACATTGAAATGTAAAAAAAGAAATACCTAGAGTTGATGACAAGAAAATATAAAAGCAAATTCAATTGAATTTCCAAGACCACTATCTTTTTTTTTTCTTTTTAAGAAGAAGAAATTTTTTAAGTTGTTTTTTTTTTTTTTTGCAATTTTCTTTCTATATCTTTTTTTTTCTTCTTCCTCCTCTTTTGGAAAAAAGAAGGGGGTTTAAATAGGTGATACAAATTAACATCCCACCTTTCTTGAAAATTTAAGAGCCAATGCATGCATTGGACTCTTTGTTTTCGCAAGGTGCCACCCAAGATGGCCAATGAAATTCTTTTTTTTTTAATTTTTGTTTTAAGGAAAATCAGATTAATTAAATAATTAATTTGCCTTTTTAGATGACCCATTTACTTTATTCATTAATTGAATATAGTTACATGGGTCATCAGAAATTAATAGG